ATCCCAGGTTTTTTTTTTTTTTTTTTTGGTACCAGGGATCAAACTCAGGACCTTACTTCTGAGAGGCATGCAGCAGAACCATTGAGCTAAATCCCTGGCCCAAGACGCATTCGTTATGAAAAGGAGATTTTCTTTTGTGGGCTGCAGACTGAGAGACGTTTGACTTAGAGGTTCTCTTTTATTCATTTATTTATTTTGATACTGAGGATTGAAACCAGGGCCCACTTTTTTAAAAATTTTTTACTTTCAGACAGGGTTTTACTGTGTCATTAAGTTGCCTGGGCTAAGTTTACATTTGTGATCCTCCTGCCTCAGCCTCCCAGAATGCCCTGTCCTTCCCCCCGCCTCCAGGCCCTGTCTTTCCAGCCCTGTGTGCCCTCGACCCTTACTCTGAGCAGCTGTGCTCCCAGCACCACCTCCCCAAGACCCCCTTCCAGTTTTGTATTTATTTTCCCTGGGGGTTACTATCCAGATACCTTTACTCCTTCTGGCCCAACCTCTGTTGTGTTTTGTGTTTTTTCTCATCCTTGTTTGCTTGTTTTTTTGTCTCTCTCCCCTTTTGTCTCAATAAGGACCCAGACTTTGTCATAAGCTCAAGGCTGGGCTCAAAGACAATGGTTGAGAACCTGAATAAGTGAGAATCAAATGCGAGACACAGAATCACATGGCCCCATCACACACACACACACACACACACACACACACACACACACACACACCCCAGTGTGTGCACATGAGCTCCTGTCTGTCTTCCTCCTTCCACTGGTGAGAGGCAGGCCATCTAGAAGCTGTGTCTTACCCTAACCTTCCCTTCTGTCCTTGCCCCCATGTAAAGCTGATGGTGTCACCTTCCCTGTGACTCTGTCCTGCCTCCCATCCACAGAGAGCTCCCTGCTCTCCCTTCCCTCTGTCCCAGTCCTCCCTGTCCACCTCAAAGTCAGTGGCGGTGTCAAGCATGACAGAGCCCTGGGCATCACCTCCCCCAGATACTGCCAGCAAAGAAGGCCAGATTTCAGAGAGAAATTGGAAGAAAAAGCCCCTCATGATCTATGCCTGAAAGCTTTATAAAAACATCTGAAAGTTCCCTTCAGATTTTTAAGAATACCTTGCCTTCATTAGTCTGTATTTCTTTGAGTGCCAGTTTTATAAATTATATCTTACTAAATGGTACCTTTTCCCATCTGGAATAATTACTAGTTAATCACTGCAAATACCTTATACTTTAATTATGAGTTAAATTGGCCTTTATGAAGCACTCTGGGAACCTCATTTCCAGTTCCAACCAAGTCTCTGTTGAAAAATATCTTCTGGGGCTCAAAAAAAAAAAATCGATAAATTGTAGAGAGTCTGTTTTAGAATTGCGAATGGAGAATTTCTGAGCTATGTCACTAAACTCGTACTTCCATACCCGAAGAAGATGTTGAACTAAAAGACTCTCTTACTTTAGGCAAGAATTCAAATTTACCTTCTCAGACCACACCAGTGGTAGGCGGGCCATCTAGAACAGTGCAGAAGGGAGACTTTAGTCTGAACCCAGCCCCAGCTTGTCCTAGTCATGTGACCTGGTGCTACAGGGCGAGTTGCCATCCATGACTCTCCTACCTGCAAACCTGTGCGGTAAGGGCAGTCATCCCAACTCCTGGTAGTACAGCTGGGGGGCTTAATGCACATTACCCCCAACACTACCACCCTCTTGGGGGTAGACTATGAGGAACTCTGGGGACAGAACCATGAAGAGCTAGACTGATGGACAGACTGGAGCTGGTGTCAGCTGCCTAACAGGCATTCCCTGGCCCAGGGACTATTGAATGAGGGGACCCATTAGTGCCACGATAGCAGCCCATTGCAATTTGTTCCGAGTGCTGATTAAAATAGTATAAAGATTTGTTTTGAACTCTGTTTCCCCAATATTTAACACCAGATAAATTTAGTGAGTGATTATATTGAATTAATCATTATTTCCCTCTACCACGTATGTCCTCGCTGCTGTAGAAAAGTTTACAGTGCCGTTCATGTAAGGTTGCTATCTATCTACAAAGCTACTTGCGTTTGGCACTGTAAGCTAAAGAATTGGAAACTGACCTGACCCATCTTAGAAACCCCCTAAGGAAAGCCCCTTTCTACTCCGCACTAGTTGTTTTGGCAAAATGGTATCAGAAGGTGGTTAACGTTCTCATGAATCCTGTGGCTATGCTAAAACCCCTTCAAGTGTTACTTTACCAGGTTCTTGAAAAGTCCCTGGAATTATGCATCAAATAGAATTGGCTCACTGGTGTGAGGCGTGCGTGTGTGTATGTGTGTGTGTGTGTGTGTGTGTGTGTGTGTGTGTGTGTGTGTGTAAGGCTGAGCTCTGCCTTGGAAGTTTATTCTTCTGTCATCCTGGATTTCTGAGAACAGTAACAGGAGTTTTCTTGTCTGTGAACTTGGAGCTCACTTGGCTGAGGCTGCTGGAGACTGAGATCACAGTTTGTAGGCATCACCACCCTCTGGGCCACAACCAAGGGGTCCCCGAGAATGCAGGGACAGCATCTCAGCTTTTCCACCCAAACCTCATTTCCTCCAAAGGCTTCCTAAACTCTGAGCCATCTGGTTTCTGCACTCCTATTCTCCAGGGAACCAGTGTGGGCACAATGTTCCCTGCCTAGGGACCTGCACCAATTAATTGCCTGAGTCACTTAGCATGTGGCTTACAGGGAGCCAGCCTGAACTGCCCTCGCAGAGCCCCCTGTTATCCACTCATCTTAATTAGCAGTGATGGGCGAAGAGAAGCAGGCAAGCTCCACAGCCAAACTCAGAGCAGAACCAGCCTTTCCTCCTGCTGCTTAGGCAGCCATGGGCAAATTCTAATCTCCCTGATCTTCAATTTCTCCCATCTGCAAAAATAGAGCTGACCGTGCTTGTCCTCCAAGGTCATTTAGGGGAGGGACACTGACAGACCAAGTACCGTGCTCAGCCTGAGGCCAGCACTATAGATAAGGAGGTGGCCAGGGGCAGGGTCTCCAGCACTCTACCTCAGTTTCCCCATTTGTAATAATAGCAACACCCAATTCAAGGTTGTCACAAGGATGTGCACGCACACTCATTCCTGGGGTGTGGTGCAGGCAGTGGAGGGCCGACTAGTTATGGTCATTTCTGTCAGAAGTGTGCTTGGGCCCCAGTGTTCCATGAGATGGCAGCTATCAACACTGGGCTGTGAAGTTGGAGGAGCCTCTAGGGATGCAATCAGTGATTGAAAGGAGAGGAAGGGAGGAAGGGGCATCCTCTAACCATGGCCTGGCTCTCCAGGCTTCAGTGTCTCCCCCTTGGCAGTCCTGAGAAGCTGTTCTGAAGTGCCTATGAGGTCGCATTCACGAAGCCATCTTGGGGAAGTTTTGATCTCAGGGCTTGTTTGCAACTTTAGAAGAAAACGCAGGCTCTGTCTGCCTCTTGCAGGAGGGTGTCTTTAATTAGGGATGAGGTCAGTCAGCTCTGCTTTGTTCAAACTGTTCAGCCAGGAGATGATCACTGTGGCGAGAGGCCCTATCTGCTGTGGTAGGGAAGTGGGGCTGCTATAATTAGTGTGCCAGGACCCAGACAGACAACAGGACTATTCTCTTCATGAAAATAAACACGACCTTAATTTATCGACACAGCAGGGCCTGGCCTCCGGGGTGTCATGTCAGAGTCACCTGTCTGGCCTGAGGTCTCTCTAGGGTTGCATTTTGTACAACTGGATTCCTGCTCTTTGGTGGGCTGAAGCCCTAACTCAGCCAGCTCTGAGGCTAGGCAGCTGGTAGCAAAAGCAGCTGAGCCAGCTGTGAAGGCTAAGAGCTTCTTGAGTGCATTGTCCACAAGTCGGCTTTGTGTTTCTTGGCTTCTGCTTTTCAGTTCGGTTGAAGGGGTGGTGGGGGTTCTGCTGGTCTAGTCCACTTGGTTCTCGAGCTCCATTTATATAAAAATCTATGGAAGAGCTTCCTAAAAACAATTTCCTAGGTCCCAGCCCCCAGGTTCTGGTCTGGCCAGTCCAGGGCCTGCACCTGCATTGCTCCAGGGCTCCTGGCCCCAGGGCCACACTGGGAGTGACTCGGCTCCGTCCCCACTCCTGACACCCTGTTGCACACCTTGCCATGGCATTGCCCTGTGCTTTGTGCCTCTGTGACGGTGAGCACGTTGTCCCGGAGTCTGGTTGTCCCTTCTTCCTTGGGCTAATACCAAGTTGTCCAGCTGAGAGGAGGCCTCCTCCCACTCCCCTCCTCCTCTACACTGCACTCTGGGCTCCAGGTCCCTCCTTGTCTCCCCTCCGCCCCACTGGGAGTCACCGTGCACGCTGCCTCTGTCCCCTGGTGGATCTTCTTACCACCCCGGCACTGCCTAAGGACTCACCACTGCTCTATAAACACATACGGATGACAGAAAGGTACGGGCCACAGAGTTGGGGTGAAGCAGCACAATCGTACTTATGTACTCCAGGTGGGGAGGAGCTGGTTTGGGGAATGCGGCCATGGGCCTCTGTCAGCCCCACAGACTCTCATGGCTCCCATGGCTCTGGAATCACTTGCCAAGGGCAGGCATGCTGAGCACAGAATTTTGTGGCAAGTGTCTGTTGCAGGTTAGGTCTGCAGAAGATCATGACAAACACAACAAATACTCTGATCTGCTCTTCAAAGGAAAGGTAATTATTTAAAGACAGGCACAAAAGCAATCACTTTTTTTCAAAAACCTGGACAATGGGAAGAGGATTTTGAAGATGACTTTTGGAAACCTATCAGTCACTGGATTTTGATGGACAGGACAGGTGTGGTTGACAGGCCCTCCAGTTCTGGTTATCAACCACTTACTCACTCACCGTGGTCACCAGGGGCAAATATGCAGACCCCTTAGGCTCGCAATCCTCTTAGCCTCAAAATTGTGACTCTGAATGTTAACTTCTTAGTTCTGACAAATGCAGAGTGATTATGTAAGATGCTGACATTAGCAGAGTTGTGGGAAGGGTGTATGGGAGCATTTCACTGCTTGGCAACTTTTCTGTAACATCTAAAATCATCATGCCAATATAAAAAGTTTATTTTAAGGACATCTTGGTCCATGCTGCCTTGTCTACAGGGTGCCTCTCGGGTCTCTCATTCTTCACCCCCTCTGTCTCTGCTAAGGCGTCTTCCTCATGAGACCCTCTGGTGCCACACCCACCTCCCGTGCCATGGTCCGTATCCCACTGACTGCCATGGCCATGTGATTATTTCTAACAGCATCATATCCACCGCCAGGCTGTCAGCCTCCTGCCCACAAGGATGTGGTCTCTTTCATTGGCTGAGGTGTTCCCAAGGTCCCATCTAGGGTCTTTAGTTGGTAAGTTTGCAATGAATAGTTAACTAAAAGGAGGCAGGAGGGGAAATGACAATTAGGAAGAAACAGGGAATTGGAAACAAAGAGGACAAAGTGGCATCTGCCCCAAAGTCTAGTGCTGATTCACTGATTCTGAGGGCTGGTGAACTGCAGCCTCCAGCTGTTTGCCCAGTTCTAAGCCAGGTCTCACTCTCCCCATCCCCTTGCTTCTTAGCTCAGGAAGTGCACCGATGATGGAAAGGTGCAACACCCTGGATGGAAGGGGAGAGAGGGCCTGGGGTGTAATCGCAGACTGGAGTTAGCACGGAGGGCCTGGCCCTGACCCTTGAAAAAGAGAAGGTGTTTTCTAAAAGGGGTTTTTGTTTCAATACCAGGAAAGCAAACAGCTTAGTCATCTGCAAGGATAACTGGGTGCTGATATTATAGTTATCTTAAAATAGATGCCATTCTACAGCAGCAACGAAGGCTTCACACACTCACCAGTTGTCACAAAGTGGGTATCGCCAACTGAGGATGAAATGGGAAGGGATGCTCTTATTGTGTGTGGCACTGGGGACTGAACTCTGGGCCTTTGCTGAGACACATCCCCGGCTCTTTTTATTATTTGTATTTTGAGACAGGGTCTCTCACCATGTTGCTAAATTGCCCAGGGCTCGAATTTGGGATCCTCCTGCCTCAGTCTCCCAGAGTGCTGTGATTATAGATGTGTGCCAGCCACGGGAGTGATTTTTTTTTTATTAAGGAGAAGCTGATGTAGAAGTAAGCAGGAAGGAAGCAGCTCAGAAGAAATCACTCCTTCCTTTGCCCTCTCAGCTTCTGCATTTTTCTCCTACACCATACAGCACAGGAGAAAAGTACTGACAAATCTGCAGTACCACTGAGTCATGGGCACTGTGTTGAGTGCTGTGCAGCCACATCACAGGGCAGGTTTTCCTCTTCTTCATAATTCTCTTTCCTTCCTGTCTGTGGAGTCTAAGGGGTGGCTTAGACCTCCAGCCTTCCTCCACATGGCCTTTTCACTCTGCTGCGAGTGGATTCTACCACAACTGGCTGCCAGTATTGAGCAGGCGACCCCAGGGGCACCCTTATATGCTACAAGATGTAAGCAGCTCCCCTCCCATGAGTTTAAAATAACCATCTCACCAAGAGCAACATATTAGGAATATTTAGAAGGCAAGTGAGACGTAGTCTCCCTCCAAGAAGTTCACCATCAAAAAAGAGCCCAGGCACCCAAAATAGAAAACCAGCAACATTGGGCAGGTTCTGCTCTTTGTCAGGAAATTGAGGAGACAGAATTGCCTTGACCCAACTCTGACAATCAGGCACCCGACAGCAGCTCAGATGGAGTCAGATGAGGCAAGCTTGCCCTAGAACCAGGAGACAGTGTTGTACCAGCTCCATGTTGAGTCAGACTGATAAAGCCATTTGAGTTCCATGGCTCCTACTCTCCTAATATGGGGACTGAGGGTATTTGTTTGTCTCTATTTAATAAACATGTGCCCTTAGGGAGGGGACAAAAGCCCCAGCTCTGTGAGGTAGCTTTACTTCTCCAGGCTTTTTTGTCTCTATCATATAATTCTATTCCCATAAAATGTCAGGGGTCAAGAGACATACATCCTGACTATGTTGAATATGTTTTTGACTCCCTGTGCCTTCATCTATAAAATGGAAAATATAGAAAATTATATTAGGGTTGTTGGGAAAATTGGATGAGGCAATGCATATTAAAGTGGTTAGCACATAGTAAATGCATAATAAGTGTTGGCCACGGCTGCTCCTTAGTTTTTATGATAATGAAATATAAGCACATGGGAAATCTGTAGGCAATAGAAAAGGGCACTGAATGGAAAGTAAACTCCTACCCACCAGGAACTCCTGAAATTAGGCCTCAGCATAGTTATAAAACCTGTTTCTTATATTATTGCTATTTGAATTTTATAAATTATTGTGCCAAAGTAGGGTGAGAGAATTACAAGTCTCTCCATCAGGTTTACCACCTGTGGTTATTTTAGGCAGGACTCTGGATAACACTGTAAGAGTCATCTGTCATGCAAAGACTAGCAGAATTTAAAAAAAAAAAGACTGATTCTGGCTTTCATTTTCTTTGCCTTCCTAGTTGAAGCTTCCCCTCCATAAGGGCACATGGTTATTAAGTAGATGCCTTCCAGGTTTGTATCAGGATGTCATGCTGCAATTCAGAGTAGGCTCCAGGATTTTACCTGTTCATTCTATAGCCTCCGCTTCTCAACCATCCCAGTACTGGATTTATTTGGTATTGGGGATTTCAAGCTAGGGGAATTCTGGCTGTACAATGTTGGAGACTTTGTTAATGGAAAGGACCCCTCTTGCCCCTGCAGATTAAAGAAGCAACAGTGTGTGCCGGCTGCTCTCAATGGCTGCTGTTCTTCCCACACCTACAGAAATGAAGGGGGGCCTCTCTAAGTGCATAGACTGGCTCTGCTGAGGCAGTTTCCAGGACATAAATCAGAATTCCAAGGGCTCAGAGTTTGAAAGGAGCACTGCGAGGGGGCTGGTCCTTTGCAAGTATCATCTCTGCCAGCCCCTGGCTGGTGTCAATAAGCTTCACAAGAGCAAGGGCAATTATTTTAGCAACAGATTAAAGTATGGCCAATGCATTTTGTGTCTTAAGGATTGCACAGTGTTTTTATTTTGTCTAATTTTTATATCTTTCAGGAACAGTTTAGGGCAGTGGCAGTGAACGTGTTTCTCCGCAGTGTACCTAGCATGCATGACTTCCAGTGGAAAGTTACAATTATTCACACCTGGCGTGAACATCGGGGTGCCAGGTGCTTGTTTTGCAGGGTTCCTCAAATCCTGGCATTAATTTTGATCTTGGAATGGCCAGATCCCTCCCCAGAGAGTTCTCAGCTTGTGGCCTCATCCAGTTTTAGGGGAAGTCAGGTTGTATTTTTTTCACAAACATTTGCTGAGGACTTACCGTGTGTCAGATATTGTCTGAGGTGCCAAAATCAAGCCGAGAATCAACAGAAGAGGCAAATAGTCTGCACTGGAACACATGGTCCAGTCAGGGAAGAGGCAAGAGCAAAGGAAATACATGTAGGTTCAGTGTATTAGAAGGTGACCAGGTCCTGGAGTGGGAGAGCACCCAGGGCAAGGGTGTGTGTGCAGGCCTGGGAATGAAGGAAAGGAACCCTTTAAAAGTAGCTCATTTGCTCAGAAAAGTATCCAGGCCAAATGCTCTGAGGCTTTACAAGCCTTTGTAATGACTTTGGCTTTCACTGTGTGAGATGAGAGGCGATCCAAGACTCTAGAGGAGCAAAGGCCCATGTTTTGGGGTTTCTGATAGAAATGTGAAGTGCATGACAGCTCCTGAGTTGGCCCCTGGGCCCATATCCCAGGCTGAACTAAGGTGCTGCGTAGACCCTGAAGCCCTGAACTCCGCAGGAGGTGGGGACTGGATGCACACTTCCATGGGGTGGCCCAGGACGTGTCCGCTGATGTCTCTAAGCCCTACGTTCCTCTCCAGAGAAAGAAGGCTAAGCTGTGTCTTTTCCGTGGACTTTATTGTGAGGTCGAGTACAGACCAAGTGTAGAAGCCCTTTGTACATGGTACAACCCTGCATAAATGTCGCGGGGCGGAGACGGCACAGATGGCTGTGTTTGGGTGAATGGTGCTTCCGCGAAACTAAGTCCTCCGTCAGAGGAACGCTGCTTCAGTCTCCATCCTTGCTTCTGGACAGCCAGGCCAACGGGCCCCCTTCCTCCTGTTCTGGAGGAGAAGGGAGACAGAAAGTGTCCATCAAGCCCGGGTGGGGTGGTCATGACTCCAGGTGCTGCGGGGCAGCCACTGATCTCGGGGCTCGGTGGGTCTGTGCTGAGAGCTGTCCCCACGGGGATGCTCCGATGGCCCGCCAGCCCCACATCAGGCCGAAGGGTGCGGGGCTGGGCTCAGGCGGCAGCTGTGCATAATCCACCTGAGTCTCCTTCCTCCCAGGCACTCCTCCTACGGAAGGCTCTTGGACGACCACGACTACGGGTCCTGGGGAAACTACAACAATCCTCTGTACGACGACTCCTAACAGAGGCAGGTGGCCTGGCGTGAGGAGGAACTGCTCTTTATTTATAAGTGCTTACTCAGTAGAATTAATATCACGTACCTGATGCGCATCGAATGACAATCTCAAGTCCTGTTTCTTTGGTGTGGTTGTTATCGTTTTCCTCTCTCTCCTCTGACGGCCACGGCATCCCTTTTTTGGTATGACAGAGCCCTGATTTCCAGGTGAGCGGCACTGGGTTGGCAGTAAAGAGGCCAGAACTCTGCTGCAGGGGCTCTGGCACCCAACCTGGACCCACTGTGACGAGGACTGGGGAGAAGGTTTGGGGTTTCAGGGGGGGGATTAATTAATTTTATGGGAACTTTTTGGTTATTTCTGAAACTTCTGTATAGAAAATTACATTAAGATCAACAGAGAGCAAGGAAGTTCTCCCCCTGCAGTGAGGAAGCAGGGGTTGCTCAGATTCCCTTGTAATCTGTTTACAAGGTCGTGTCTGACAGGAGGCTGCCCAGGCCTAGAGCCCACGGCTGCTTCTTAGCTATCTAATTAGTGCCATGAAAGTGGGCCCTGGAAGGGGGGCAGCAGGCCAGGGCAGGCCAACAGATGGCTGTCTGCTGTGTGTCTGCTTCTACCTGTTCTCCCTGCCAGGCCTGTCAGATGCAAATGGGAAGCCCCTGGGTTTCCTGTGAGGGGATGCACTTAGTGACCTGAGAAGGGAGAGGTGTGAAGGAAAAGAGATAATGCGCCTGAGTCCCTCCTGGGGATCAGATCCACTGCCTGGAGGAGCCCAAACAACCCGTGCTTTACACCCATAATGCAACTGGTTCACTGCCTTATTGCCTGTTGAGGGATTGTTATAAGCTGTTTTAAAAAATAAAAAGGAGGCACCAGTTTAATCTGCATTTCCACAGGAAACAAGCACCATGAATAGTCCTTTTACTCGCTCATACACTGACCCTTTAAAAAGTGAACACCCTGGAGAGCTGGCACTAAAATCTTGCACAACAAGTATTGAGAACTCACTGTCACTGTCACCTTTGAGAGCATCCATTTATTTCAGTCATTCTCAAACAAGAGGTGATTTTTGCCACCCCCACGCCGCAGACATCTAGAAACGATATTTGATGGCCTCAAGTTGGGGTGACCACCCTGGCCTGGCCTCTGCTAAACATCCCACAATGCCTGTGACGGTGTCCGGTACCAGGCACTACCCGGTTGAAGCCTCAGAAGTGCCCTGGGATTTAGCTCAGTGGTTCCGCCGCCTGCTTCGCAAGCGCAAGGTCCGAGTTCCATCCCAGTACCAGAACAAGAAAGTGCTGAGACCGAGAACCCCAATTCATTGCAGGGCCCGTGACACAACAAGACACTCTCAGATTAGTCCTCTCTTTTATTTTGACAAAAAGAAGGGATGTGTCAAGTTTCTGTCTTAGTTTGCCGGCTGATGGGTTGTTTCTTGGTTCGCATGGCTGCCCTCCTCGTCTAGGTGTTTCTGACTATTGCAGGGCTCCGCTTCTGTCCTCCTCTATCTTCTGCTATTACCAACTGTCACCTCACATCCTGAATTCATAGAGTAGAAAACACGTTTTAAAACATGCCATGCCCTACAGTGCAACAAAGAACATGACACCGCATCAGTACAGATGTCTACACGTGGCTCTGCCCTGTGGCTCTGTTTTGGAAATGACCAGGAGTAGCATCCTTCTCCACAACCTGTGTCTAGCCTGATATTCCTAAGCTCCTTGGGTCCAAGGGGAGTTTTCCAGAGGTCCCCACAGCCAGAGAGGGGAAAGAAGGAGGAGCCGGCTGGAATTAGGAGGTCTCTAAATTCACTTCAGTATGGGACATCCCAGAAATAAAGCGTTCCAGGAGCCCCTTGGCTGTGCTGGGCTTGAAGAACTGTCCCGCCCCTGTCCCGCCTGCTCCACTGAGCACTCTGTCTGGCCAAGGACAGGTCAGTAAAGACAAGGCCTTCCATAAGATTGGGTCCTCCTCGCTCAGCCCAAAACATCTGGACACAATGTCCGGGAAGCACATTTGGAGAAGGGCACATCTGGAGGCTGCCCCTGTCCTCTGTCCCAGGTCATGGGGACTGTCTCTCCCAGGACCTCTGGCCTATTGAGAGCCCCAGAGTGGCGAGTGCCTTTCCTTACCACAGGCCGCCACAGAGACAGGACAGGGCTGGTTTGTCGCTCTAATTCACTTCTGAGGCTGGTGGCAAAGAGAGGGGTCTGGGCCTCACTGCAGTGCTCGGCAAGGTGAAAGATTCCCATGAAAATTCAGACATGCTTGTTGTGTTGGTTAATATTAAATACTTATGGTGCAACCTTATTTTGCCAAATGTATTGTTCAGCCTTGGAGCTGGCCACTGAATTTTAGTAAGTGTATTCTACAAAAGTTACTCAAAACATACACGTGTGAACTCACACACACACACACACACACACACCCCTGAAATAGTGACAGCTGACATCCTTCCTATCAAGGGGAGCCCACCCCATCCACCCGAGGGAAGCTTCCATGCCTCTGACAGCCACGCCCACCAGGGCAGGACCCATCCCCTCTGCAGAGAGGGTTTTGGCATGGGAGGGAAGTAAGCAGCCTCCTCTCCATCCGTCACGCATGAGCACAGAGCGGAAGTCGTCTGTGTGTTCTTTCCCCCGGGTCTGCAGAGGTATCCTGCCTTCCACCTGTATCTGTGCTTCTGAGGAAGGCAATGCTATTGAACTGGCCTTGCCCGCTCCTACCTCACAGAGGTGCCATGAGGATTCATGGAATCACGTCCACAGTGTTTCCAGTTTCTGGAGAGACATATTTATAGAGACTTTAAGTATTGCAATCGTATATAAGTGATCTCAGTTTCTTGTTTGCTGTGATACTTGGGTGTTGTCTTTCCTTATTCTGTAAAGCTCCAGTTGTGTCCCAGCCACATCAGACAGCTGTGTTTGCTCAGAACTGCCCCATCAAAGAGGACCAGTGGTGGGGTTTATGGTGCCTGGGGTCCCCAAAGGTGGTGTCCATCTGATGAAAGGACAGATGATGAGTTGGGACCCAAGAGGCCAGGATAACAAGTGGTAGAGCATTGGCCTTCACCACCCTGAGGCCCTCTGGATTCCTTATGGAGTTGACTGTGATCAGATGTCACCAGTTTGCTCTTCATCTCGCTTGCAAGGGTGCATGGTTCCATCCCTTGCATCTGGGAAATGAATTTTACAATTGGGCCAGATGCTAATTTGCACGTTGATTCACCTTCTTTGCCTTTAACCTTTAGTAGGGCAAATGAATGTACTATTTCAGCTTGGGTATAAAAAGCACTAGAAGATACTGGTAATAGTGCTAAAGGAGAATTCACTGCCAGGTTTCTTTCTTAGGGGAAGTTAGCTGACATCACGAAAAGAGGGAGACAGACAGGCGACTTCTCTGATATGTGATACCATTGTTTCTGTCATTGTTGTAAGACATGTTGCATACCAGCTATAATTGTACCAATTAAAATTGTTAAAACCTGTGTCTGGCTGTCTTGATAGTCATGTTGGTGTATTTTGTTATTCACACCATTTACTTGATAAACCACTCAGGCTAAGTAGCTCTGACTTGTCCTTAAAGAAAATCTATACCACACCAATAAATAATATTTTTCTGCAGGGCAAGAAGGTCTCCCTGATCTTGAAACAGAATCAAAGTATGCCAGCCCTGAAGAAACTTTCCCAGCACCAATTGTACTCTCAAATATTCTGTGTGCCTTACGTACCAGATGTAGGAACACACACTGATTTAATGAGTTAGGTCCACAATCATGGCTCAGTTAGGCATATTGGCATTAGCAGTACCTGTGATACTTGCTCTGCTCCCCTTCAAAAAATTAAATTCAGCATATTCATCTTTATCTGACAGCTAAGTAGCAGGCAGTTTCACCCATTCTGAATAGAAATTCAGCCCCCACGAGCTAAGGAAATACTATGCTGGTTTGGAAGAAAGTAGCAATGGCAAATCCTTTCTTTCATTGTGCTCCATGGGAGGACAGGGCCACTTGCCAGCTAGGAGTTGTTGATCAGAGGGTAGATGTGCATTTGGGTCAGATTTAGAAATTTAACTCCCTGCCCTCCACACATGGCATGAAGGCCTGACCAGGAAAGACAAGATAGAAAATGAGGACAAAGCAGAGAAGGTGCCTTGCCAAGGACTGCCTGGTGCCCAGAGCTGACAATCTCCCTGAGACCTGAATGTGGAGCCTGTAGAAGTCTTGGGGGAACTTAGGTCACTAGGTCCTGGCCTTGAGAGACATACAAGGACCTAACCTCTTTCCTTTCCCTCTTTCTCTGCTCTGGGCTGACTGGCAGTGAGCTGTTTCCTCTGCTAACAGCCGTGTTTCACCTGGCTCCACTCCCAGGAGCAAGGACCAACCAGATGTGGACAGAAACCTCTGGAACCATGAGCTAGAGCAACCTTTCCTCCTGATGAGCTATCTCAGGTATTTCGTTGCAGAGATAGGAAGCTACTAATATATTTAGTTATTTCTTGAGGACTTGCTATGGGCGCAAAAGCAACTAGAGACCCTTTCAGTCCCCAGCCTTGCACCCAGTCCTGCAGGGCCTCCACCCACCCAGTGACAGGTCCAGGATGTGTCAGGGCACTGTCCACACCAATCTTTTTGCCGGCCGAGCATGTCCCCTGGCTACATGCACAGAAATCACAGCAATGGATGCTGGGCAGAGTACTGCAAGTCAAGTCAGTCAGCACCAGGCAAGGCCATGAGGTGAGAGATGAACGTTTGCTGCATCCTGCACCAATCAGGGACACAGAGGAAAAGCACGTGCGTTTGTTCCTGGGAAGTATGGTAACATTTCAATACAAAGGGAAACATTTAATACAGGCCACAATATGATAAGAGCAGAAGGAGGGAGGTTAGGGAAGTCACCTGCAGGGACCTGCTCCAGGTCTAGGGTTTTGGAGAAGCAGTCACGGTCTCAGGCTGCTGCAACAGCAAAGCCCATGTTTCTTAGGAACTCCCAGGAGGCCACAGCCATCCACACACCCAGGGACAGCACCTTCTAGAGAAGCCCAGCTTTGCCTTTCCCATCTTCCCCATTGCATCTGAGAAGCTCTTCAGGATGAACTCCGGCCAGAGCCAAGCAGCAAGTGATGTCCCAGGAAACACTGCTTCCGGCTTCTCCTCATTATAGAGGATCTTAAGAAAGGGTGGCAACAACACTGCTCTGAAAACAAACCATGGCAGTCCAATCTTACCCTAGGTTAAAACTCCCCAAAAGTCAAAGTGGCAGAGAACCCCTATTGAGATAGGTATGCTCTTCCCTCACGCAGCTGAGGATGCCCACGCCTTCTCCTTGCAAAGAAAAATGCTCAGCCTACCTGTGCCTGTGTCTCTGGGACCATGCATTCCCCGCTAAGCTCAGATGAGTCCTCCTCTGGTGACAAATGACAGGGTTAGGACTTTAATCTGCTTGACAGTGAACAGAGAGTGGTGAGGGAGAACAGAAGAGGGGCTGGTTGTCACACACACACACACACACACACACACACACACAAGTGTGTAGTACGTACATGCATATGGAAGCAAGGAGGAAACAATTACCGAAATGTCCTTAGCTATAAGACTGCATCCCGCATCCACTATCACAGCAGGTCCCGCCTGTCACTGATCAACATCTCACCTGGCTGTGGTGCTTTTTGTGGCAGTGACTCAAACCCTTGTCAGACACAAGTAAAACCTGGGGACTAGAGGGCAGAAAGGGAGCTACTGAGCTGCGTAATGTTTTTACCGTGTAAAAGGAGTAGAACAGATAAGTGAAGAGTAGAAAAAGAAGAAGAAAGAGAAAAGACAGAGAGACCAGCTCACCTGGAATGTGAGGTACCAAATACTCTTCCCCATTGATCTTCCTGCCCTCCTTCACTAAAAAGAAAGCAGAGTTTGTGGGGAGAAAGCAGAGGAAGGGTTCAAAGCTACTCCCAGCACTAAGCCTGCTAAATGTGCGGCCACGGCTACTCCACACCCGTCACTCCCACGTACCCACCAAACTCCCCCACTCCTGTCCTCATCTCTCTGAGAACTGTGCATTCTTCAGAAAGCCAGGACTGAATGTAGGGGATGGGAAGGGTGGGGGGAGAGGGAGAAGAGAAGGAGGAGAAGAGGAAAAGAAGACCTCCCAGGAAGGGTGGAGGACAGTAACGGCAGGATTTCCTTTAACATATTCACTTCCAGCTTGAAGATCGATGAAGCACTCTACACCGACCAACACAACCCAAGACTACATCTTTTCCCCTCCCATGAGGAGACCTGGGCTGCACTGGTTGTGCTGAGCTGCTGGACCAGCTCTGGAGTTGAGATGCAGCAAGAGGAAATACACGTTAGCTTTCTACGGCAGATAATCCCCCAAGACAATGAATCCTGGGTCCTGGGCTAGCAAAGATCTGAAGGGTCAGCTTGTACCCTCTTGGAAATCAGCCAGACCTATTCAGGGACACAGATCTGAAGCCTTCTGTGTCCCCTGGAGAGAGTGCCCTTTTCTCTAACAACAGTATATATGGGCTGGGTTTTATGTGTCTTCCACTGGTTTGCTTTATGCTTCGTCCATCTGAGTTCAGAAAATCTTCAAGCTTCCTGGACACTGACCTCATGGACCACGCCAGAGGGCTAACAGGTGGCTGTTTGGTTAAAAAGAGAAGGCACATTCATTTTCTCCTGGCCTCCTGGAGGTAGCCAGTTCCTTGGGAAGTCAGGCTTTGAGATAGCTGTAGTCAAAGCCATTAGCAAAGGAGAACTGCTTAACTGAAAGTGGTAACACCTTTATGTTCTTGTCTCGTGGTGTTGGAAACACTAGTTCCAAGAAGAGAAGTGGGTAGAAAGTCCAGAGGTTCTCAGGAGCTGAAATCAACAAGGCCACACTTGCTCACCCAGTGCCTCCACGTTTCCTCCCTCACATCCCACAGGGATTTTCCTAAGGAAATGACTGGTGGAAATTACAGCATGTATTCATTGGTACATTCAAGATATCTTTCTAGATGCAAGGAAACAGGAACTGGTCCTCAGAAATGGATCCTCAAAATGCTTCCCTCTAGCCATGATACTGTGGTGCAGTGGGTGCCTGCGTGCAGCAATGTGCAGAGTTATGAAGCCCAAAAACGCAGGAACCAAAGGATGAGAAGGACACTTCCTTCTTCCTATTCCCAGGCCTCTGGTGCTCACACCCCACCATCTGCCCAATGGCCTGCATCAGCTCTCTGGGCTCCCCTTGTAGAGCCATGACGGATTTCATCCTTGTTCCTCCTAACTGCCCTCCTTGAACTATGGGTACCAGTTTCTTTTTCCCTGCCCAGGGTCGTCACATCCCAGCAATGCCACTGTTAGAAACTGCTGTGTGTTCTTCTTCTCCTTGTGGAGACTGAGGGAGAGAATAATCCCTCTACCCTGTCGCACCATCCCATGGTAGCCATTCCCTAAGGACACCCAAGGAGCCCTCCTAACTTTCCCAGCTATTCTCTGATAGATGGTTGAGAGGGGAAGGGAAACAACATCTGTCACAATGCTTGTGTGTGCCTTCGAAACCAGGATGGCATCAAGATCAATCAGAGAGCAAGACGCTGGCACCCAGGTCAAGTGACTTTCCAGTGGCAACACAGGTAGCAGGAGACAGAGTCTGGATTTCAGCCTTGGACCTTCCTACTCCAAAGCCTGCTGTGACTATGTAGTCTCTCACGTGGAAATGCCTCTTAGCCCCCCAAACACAAGCAAATCACAGAGGGATCTTGTTAAAATGAAAATCCTGAGATCCTTCCTTTGTGACACACCCAAGGTGCTAATGCAGCCCCCTAGCGCCAAAGGTTGAGCAGCAAGTGTAAGACGCAGCCTCCAAATGGAATGCCTAGGTAGCCCCAAGCACCCACTGCTGGTTTTCAGGAGAGTGACAGCACCACATCTTCCTCCAGGACACCAAAACATTCTATCACATCCCATAGGAATTTTCCTAAGAAATCGACTCGGATGGAAATCATACGTATTCATTTGTGCATCCTAGATACCTTCCTAGACACAAGGAAACAGGAACTAGCCCTCAGAAATGAATCTTCAAAATGCGTCCCTCTGACAGAGCAGTGA